AATAATTATGTCAATTTGATGACTGTCATTTATATTTTCTTATTTGTAAATAAAATTAGTTTGCCAGTGCGAATTGACCAAAAAGTACCGATCTTCCCACTTATATATTCAGCATAGCATTAAGAAGTGTCTATGTATATAAGCCCACGATATTAATGGTATCTGTATTGATAATCGGCGTCGCTAAAAGCTGTAAAGCGAATGATCGATATTGAAATGCAGATCGATCGATTAGTACGCGTTAGAATGTTGAGTCGTTACGTCAAAACATCTCTGATTTGTTAAATCTTGTTCGAGCTCCCGTCTAACTCGAACGCAGCAGGAGATCGAATTTCAATGGCCTTATAAATACAGTTATAATAAATTTAGATACAATAATATACCGACCGGTTCAGGTCGACGGTAGCTTAGGGCTTCTGTCGAGAAATGTGTTGGAAGAAATTCAGCTTCATCATTGAACGTACATCATTACACACATAAATTCAACTTTTACTCGAATTAGTTAACGTTTTGCGATAATTATTTCAAAATGAAACGCAGGGTGAAAACTTCACAACACTCTTTATTACCCCATTAAGTTTTATGTAATGTTTCTCATTTTTTATTTATTCTAAAATGAACTTAATAGATCTTAAATAGATAGTAACAAAAGCTAGGAATATCCCATATTTCATTTTACTGCTAATAGCCTGCGATTCTAGCTCTCGTAAAAAATTATTTCATGCTGTAAAATCAAGCGTAAATACTTATTAAGGATAAACGGACTGTAAAAACGACTTACAGTGCCAAATAAATCTTTTACTAGAGCACAATTCGCAAAACTAGAACGGACATTCGATTTGTTCTAAAAGTCTAAAGTCGCCTTTATAGTTTTCCCTTAAAGTGCACTTCTTATTATCTCGACAAGATGAACATGAGACTGTTTACTTGCAGATAAGTTAGAACAGAACGCTGTTTCAACGTCCACAAAAACGTGTTCCTCACTAAATCTTAACTGAGAACTCGCGTGCACAGTAGCTGTGTTAACATCGACTTAGTTCCTAAACAAATCCAGTACAGGCGAAGCACGCTCGATTTAAATGTAAATACGGCAATTAGATACTCCTTAGACCGTTTGCTGGACGATTTACTGTTATTTTAACATCGATTAGGATTTCGTTCAAAAAATTATTTCGGGTCTTGTCTAATATAAAAAAATTGTGCAATTTATTGTAACCTAAAAAAATTTAAGTGAGCTTAATTCACGAATGAACGGATTGATTAATATTAAAATAATATTTATTTATTTATTTTTTGCATAAAAAATCCTGAAACCCATAATAATTTTCAAAGCGTTATAACTGGCGGTAGAGGCTATTGTAAGCTGACACAGGTAGGTACCAACAAAAGGTGGCGCAGTTTTTTTTTTATCTGCCAGTTTTCTCGAGGTGTTGTTTTGGTTTCAGTTTGGTTGGTTGGCGTCCTCGTGGAGATCGGCCTAGGAGAATTTTCTAAGATACAATTGATACTTCGATCTCATGTCTCAAGGCTCACGTTCACGTTGTGCTGTCTATGGGCTCTAAAGTCGAAACGTCGCTTGGATTAAGACTACTATCGGATCCTTCGAACCGGAATGCGGTTTGTAGAATGAAGCTACCAAGTCGTGCGGGCACATGACCACTCTTCGATCACTAATTACTCAAATTACAAATGTTGCTAGTCCGATTATATTATACGAAGCTGTAACTACCCCCGCTAGGCTTGACCAACGGCATAGCCTAGAGACTACACGGTAACTATTACATATTTAATTACAGAATCTATATATTAATACGAGAAAATTGCGCGGACGGAGGAGTATGAAATTTCCCACACTTATAGAGAATATAGAGAAGGAGTGCAAAATGTTATATATATTTTTTTAAAATAATGCATAAAAATACATTAAATCAATCAAAAAAAACATACTCTTTTGTTTCTTATTAAAGTCGGTGGTCAAGAGAATAGAAAGTATGGTATTTGACAATAGAACCATAATAATGTTCAAACTTATAATTTCAATTAATTATGGTCGAAATTCGATCACTGGGCGACCACTAGTAATTAACAAAGACGTCTTTTAGATATTTGTGCTGTTAATGTATACGATACGAACACTTCAAATACAAAAAAAATGAGGGTACTAAATTAAAAAAAAAATCTTGAATTAATAGGTTTTTTTTTTTTAGATAATAGATATTTTTTTTACCTATGACGTTGCTGTTTTAGAATACTGGCCATTTGAAATATAATTTACGTACGGCTGCCAAAATGAATTTTATTAGGAAAGATATAGAATTTAATTTTTAAATTCAGTAATTTGTTTTTTCATTTATGCTTTGTTTTGCGTACAGTTGTATTCTTTTTTTATAAATATGGATACTATAAGAATGGTTTAATTGTGGAACACGAGTTCTGTCGCGGTAGCCATAGCGCTGATAAGGCATATACAACATTAATGACCTGTACGGAGTGAACACTACACACGAATGTATGACTCGTCAATGGTTTGAACTTGAAATGCATCGATATCATTGACGCATATAAAGATCTAATATTAAACGGCATGTGGATATTTAAGCGAGACCAACTGTTTTTTGGAATGTAAAAAAATTTGCATCTGACAACCCAGACCGCATCGACAAAGGTTCAGTATATCTTAGGTTTATTTTATTTAGTTCATTGACGACCGCACAAGCTTAAGGCTCACCTTGTGCTAAATTTATGTTAGCGCCTAACCGAAATATATTGCATTGGATTTCTCAATAAGTTCAATTACAATGTATTGTATAGAGCCAAACAGACGATTGTGGCATCAGGGCACATTAATCAGGGCTTTGCGTCAGTTCTAAATCCATGATGTTATATGGTTTATCTGCATGCCAATATATTGTGCTAATTAGGCTGATTGGATTCTGTATAGCACTCCCTTAAATTATATTCGTTTAACTACTGTTTTGAGTATTATAAACATTTTATAGGAATTGGTTTTAGTGTGATGAAGTCACAATAGACAGTAGTATTTATAATGTAAATATTGACTAAACGATGACCGCTTTTTTTTACAATAAAATCATTTTTCCTTACACTATTTTTAATTCAAATTTATTAAAGTTTATTTTCTATTTTTTAGTTTTCTATAAAAGCGTATTTTGTTAGTTTTTTTAAACTATTTTTTATTTTTTATTTATTAGTTGAATTTCAATTTTCAATAAATTTTTTTATATTAATTTGTCGTCGGTCCTTGATAAATATACCAAATTTCGAGTTAATCCGACGTTTTGAAGGCAACATGACAAACATGAAGACAAACATCTTCATCACACGAATGTTTGCCCGACGTGGGAATCGAACCCACGACCCTCGCCGCAACAGTTAGTGCCGCTAACTACTGAACCAGCGAATCAGTCATGACGACAGAATGATTAAATAATTTAAATCATTTAGCCCGTAATTTTCCGGCGAAGCGCATTCATTACCTTCGTAGACTTAGCACACCTGAATCGAAAACGCCAAGCCATAGACAAGCACCTTAATTAAAATATTCTGCAATAATTCCGTTACAATGCAGGAAAACCGATATCTATTGTGCCGTAACCGGTAACTGGTCGCCATTAGTGGTACCTATCATTACTGTAGGAGTCTCTGGTATCTTATCAGCTATAGATAACGTTAGCTCATTGTTCTCAGCCTCCCTTACTATATTTGATTTGTTAGCTTCCGAGTTACTTATCTTGCATTTGAAATCGGTGAGCGAATCGAATAGGAAAAATGTTTATACGGTACTATCAATTAATAAACTGTATGATATATGTATGTATATATCTATCGGAAATATACTCCTCTATACTATACGCTGATAAGTCGCCGAAGTCGTCGTGGCCTAAAGGCTAAGACGTCCGGTGCATTCGTATCTAGCGATGCAACGGTGTTCGAATCCCACAGGCGGGTACCATTTTTTCTAATGAAATACGTACGTAAGGAATAACATGGTGTAATAAAAATCAAACCCGCAAAATTATAATTTCTTAATTACTGGTGGTAGGACCTCTTGTGAGTCCGCACGGGTAGGTACCACCGCTCTGCCTATTTCCGCCGTGAAGCTGTAATGCGTTTCGGTTTGAAGGGTGGGGCAGCCGTTGTAACTATACTGAGACCCTTAGAACTTACATCTCAAGGTGGGTGGGGCATTTACGTTGTAGATATCTATGGGCTCCAGTAACCACACCAGGTGGGCTGTGAGCTCGCAGATCCATCTAAGTAATAAAAAATAATATTTTTTTTAGATAAACTACTAAAAAAACTTTGTTTGTTTTTCACTACTTAAAAACCCACTAAGGAGAATTACTGTCATTTCAATTGAATTATAAAATAAATATCTCTACGACAACGGTATATTTGTCATTAATCCCATACCGTCCGAATTCAACATTATCCAGAGCAGTCAATATCGATACTAAATATTAGATAGCTCAACAGAAATACGCCATTTATATGGTGCTAAATTCTGATTCTGATGATAGCTCAAATAGGTTTATCGAGGAACATAAGGACCACAGGAAATAATTTTACGGGAACATAAATGAATTTTACAACCGGAATGGGTATGAAATATTCAGATGACGAGCTGGATTAACTCGAAGAAACATATTTATTATCGTAGTATAACAGAAGTAGTATTAGTTTACCCATTATTACGAGCGCAGACCTAATGACATTTTCCAACATTGCCAAGTTATAGGGTTATCAAAATATTCTATCTCAGACAAACACTTAACAGGCAAATAACAGGTGCAGTAGTACAGAGTCATAAATAAGAGTAGACTAAATGATTTCGTTATAAAACATCGTTCGGAATACTGATTGTTTAATTATAATAATTCTGTCATTAAAAAAAAAAAAATATCCCTTAAGATTAATTTAAATCAAATATGTCTTGTAAATTTAAAAACATATCTATATAATGTTTTCTTTTTTCTTTGCAGGCGCACAGAAAAACGATTTGGAGTAGCTTCAGGTTTATAAAGTAAGTACAATTGAAATACAGTTTATAGAATTTAATGCCCCAAGCGTAAACAATATATTAGATTCGGTCCTATGATACTATCGATTTTCAAGACTGGCAACTTTATAAAATCAAATATTGTCGTTTGTTTTATAAATCGAAATTCAAATTTAAAATTAAGGGTAACGCGGCTAAGTCTAAGAATCAGTCAAATCTAAGAATAAAGACTGGTATACTAAATTATCTTAGGCTTTTCGATTTTAACTAAAACTACTTTCACGGTTAGTTTAATTTCGCGTTTTTATTGTCAATATACAATATTATTTCCGACGTTTTGATTACGTCGCAATTTTCGTGGTCACGGAAGTTATACAATAACAGTGAATGAACTCGAGACGAAATGATAAAAGTAGTTTTTTTTTAATATTTACTGAATTGATCTACGACCGAATGATGGTGTTCGTGTTATCTGATTAATGTTCTATTTACTACGCTGTACGCAGTCATTGCAAGAGAAATATTACTGAAAATTTGTTATTGAAAAATTGTAACATACTATGTTTCTATGTTCTTCTCGACATCTATTGGCGAATAATAATTGAGGGCAACTTACCGCTTTAAAGACACAACAAGATGGCGTTATAAAAAAAAAAAACGAGCAAAGCTCGGTCATTAGCTAGTTACATTTTAATCAATCTATAAGATTATTTGAGCATATCAAAATCAAGACCAAGTAATTGAAGAAGGAACACGATCGATTCAGATCACTTCAAATCGCAGTGCTGGACATTTATAAGCGAAGTTATGTTTTGCAATGTATTTTCATATCAACTGTCCCTTCCGCGAATGCGTCATTGATCGCGCATTAGAAGGTAGCAGGTCGGGGGAATATTTACCCATACTGCCTTATCATCCGCTTTATTTCAGGCAGCTTGGGAATACTTTTCATACCGCCTTATGATCCGCCCCATTACAAAGTTTACGTAAAGTATTTTTTTTTAAACTTAATTATTTCAGCTTGAGTCTCCCTTTCAGCAGAAAACGGAAGTTTTGCCAAGGTTTTCTTTATTTTATTTTATTTTAGCCGAAGGTGGTTGATGCCGTAACTTTGGTGGGATATTAATCGTAAACGAATTACCTTCACTCACAGCACAAAGGGTACCCCTAATCTATAGCCGATGAGTTTTTATCGTTTAGTTAATCAAATTCAGTTTCTTTTATTTTTTATATGTAGTACTTAATCAAACTGAGATTTTTAAAACGTCATTTCCGTTTTCCCCTTAGATCTATGATAGTCATACACTGAATCTTTTGTAGACACATAAAAGCAAGTGTCACGTTAAATTATAAATTTTAATTGGAGACGTTACGCTTTCGTTACACTAATACTCTGTGTTTGTTCAACATAAGCCACTTATATTATTAACAAGAAAGCATGTATAATTGCAGACTATAGAAAACATTAGATATATCTTTCGTTCAAAAGTTTACAAAATTAGAAAATTAACAAACTTTAAAATTTTCGTGAAGTAATCCTACTATCTAATCTTAAACTAATGGTTAAGTAAACGGTTGTGTGGAAGAGATCGCTTTTAGCGACAAGATTGCCTAATGTATTAATTATGTTTTGGTCTGAAATGAAGCATACCTTCTCCTTCTCTAAGTTAAGTAGTGGAGTAACAAGTGATATGACTATACCGGAAAACAAATTCTGAGATAAATATCAATGTTTGTATCAATACGTTAGCCTCTGATAAATTTTCACGAAATACTTCTATAATGCCTACCAACCAGTCAAAACTATTTCTATAGGTGTATCATTTTATCTTAATAAAATTACGTGAGAGACCTAAATATCTGAAACCGAATCCTTTAGAGTTTCAGTGGTGACACCAAAAAATTGACTAGAGAGAAGGTAGCCAGATTTCTCTGCTTATTCCCCCCGATTGAAGGTTACGGGGCGGCCTAAGGGGACGAGGTCACCGCCACCTCGTAGACTGAAAAAAAGGTCTGCTCCCAACATCCTAGCCGCAGTCTTCAGTCTGCCCCTGGGTCACGGCGCTTGCAACATGCCGAAATATCGGGGAAACCATGAAATATAAAAAAAAGCGTAACAGGAATTCGTCAAATAATAGTTTCCAAAATGTATGTATATGCACATATAATGAATATTGAAAACAAATTAAGACATACCAAAATCTTCGATAAATTATTTCACGCTCCTTTATCAGGGATTCCGAACACGTAATTGCCTGAATTAATCTATGTAGACGCGCGATTATCTGCACTATTTATTAACGTACCTACGCTTAGTGCTGGTCCGTGAATAATTTGTTACATCTATTCTAGTTTGAGTGTAAACCGTGGAATAATCTAGATTAATCGCCAAGCTCATAAAGAGTTTAAATAAAACTGAAATCCATTTGTTAATTTTTATTCGGTGGAATATTTTTTTCGGATCAGAGAATTGTAACTATCACATTCTGCTCTGCTATTAATTAGTGTCGTGGCGTGGAACCTTTTTGGCAGGACATAAGAACTACAACGACTAGACATAGACACAGACTAAGACAGAGACTTGACAAGAATTCGAAAAGAAATAGAACGAGGGCGTACGTGACGAGCGGCAGGCAGTACATTTTTTGACTTCTTAAAAGACAGGCACAAAGACGACAAGGAACGAACCGACCGTTCTCATATACATATAAAAATAGTCGACAAAAGAACGAATTGACCGTTCAAGTGGTTATCCGACCGTTCGATCAGAATTCATTGGGATTTTATAAACCTACTGCTATCATTTTGCGGCTGTCCGTGTTAGCAGTTGGTATGTTTATCGATTCGTTTCGATGGTGAGGCGGTGCAAGGTGGCCGCTGTGCGCTGCCCAGGGTTTGTTACCCGAGACGACGTCCTTCGGGATTTTCCCGAGGCTTAAATCCGGTCCTATCATCAGGACAGGTACCGGCGAAGACGGACCCTCGGCGCGCACTATGTGGTACCGTAGGTTTCGTCTAGCCGGTGTTGTGGAGCTCGATGGCGTTTAGTCGGTAATCGTTGTTGCCTTTTTGCAACTATGCAAGGCATAGTCTCCTGGGAAGAATTGGAGGAGGAGGACCTCGGTCTTCCTTTTCTCCTGTTTCTTCTCTGGAGGCGCCGGAGTCCGACGTAGCTCGGTCTGTTACCCCCCTCGACCGTGTACCCGTAGAAGATTCCCAGCATAGAAAAAAAGCTAATTTCTGTGAATATACCTTCCTTTCTGAAGGTTTCTAAAGCTATATACTAAAGCTTCTAAAGCTATACAATTATTGTAATTTTAATGAGATTTTAAATTTATGTCTTAAATGGTGAAGAAATTGTGCTGTTTTTGCTATGAGCTCCGGTAGCCGATGATCATAAGACAAACTTTAAGCTCCGGTGCTTATTTTCAATATTATTTATTTTTGTAATCACTATAATTAGGTAAGTGGTACTTAACATTTATCCGTTAATTCAACATTTAGTTTCCAAGCTAGTCAACCAAGTTTACCAATGTAAGCATAACATTTCCCTGATGCTACTAGTTTAATAAAAGTTTTATTAACCATACTTAGTTCGAACAACATGAAAGTACCGTAATAGTTGTCGAGTGTGATGCAAGCGATATCTAAAGTAAACATTATTTGGTAGAATTAAAATTAATTAGAATTAATTAATTAACTCAATTAAACTGTATGTTTTTTTTTCAGAAAACTTTTTTTTAATGCTTGGCCGGACGGGCTCACGGCACACCTGGTGTTAAGTAGTAGCCGGAGCCCATGGACATTTTCAACGTAAATGCCGCCACCCACCTTGAGATATGAGTTATAATGTCTCAATATAGTTACAACGGCCGCCCCGTCCTTCAAACCGAAACGCATCACTGCTTCCCGGCAGAAATAGGCAGCGTGGTGGCACTATTTCTAAAATCTTAACGTAAATAAATGATGAACTAATAAAGCGGGTAGATAAAGACGTTGATTAGCGTCCCAGCAAGTATGTAAACTGTGTCGGTGCATCTCTTACAGTCGTGCTACTCATTTCTGAAGGTCGTGACCACCTTCATCCATGACTTATGTCCTCACCTTACTGTGCCGTCTCATCTCGTCTTCGACTACTCGGAGAATACAATAGACGGTGGAATCAGGGATCAGACTAACGTATTGGCTGCACCGTCGCGATCTTTTTCCCTCCATTTTTCCATTAAAAACTAGTTTTTCAACGTTGTCGTCGATTGGCGATTATTTGTCCATAGGTAAGTATACATAAAGCCGAAATAATAGGGAGCTACATTTTGATTGCTAACATCATGTGTAACAACATCAGAACATGTGTGTGTGTTGCTAACAACATCAGAATTTAGATTTACACACCAAACGAACGTGACAAATGTTCAATAAATATTAGAAGTAAAAGTAAGCTTGGTACGCTCGTTTTGCGCCTACAGAGAACTAAAACTTAGTCATTAGCCCGGCTATAATTTATCACAAGAAAATCCAAATGGTACTAAAATAAAAGTTCTTATTTTAATAGCGAAGGATTATTAGACAGTCATCGACTGTGTCTTCAGCAAAACTAAGGTGGGTTTGTATTTTATTCCACGCATAAACATCATCAAACCAATCTCTGGTCATTACTTTGTAGTAACTAATATTAGAAGGGTTTATTTTTTTTCTTCTTAAGCTGATGGTCTAGAGAGACCATGTCAGCGTCACCGGGCTAGTAGGTGAGCTCACGGGGCTCAAACCTGACGATGTTGCTAACACGAACCCTAGCAAGAACCGTGCTTCGCAGAATCTACCACCGGATCGGAAACGCGACCCACTGAAAAGATCTGGCGAGAAACTTAGTGGACTGTGTCTATGGGTTAATTTACTAGCCGAGCCCTTCGGGTTCGACGAAAACGATGACCGGAAGGGTATCGTTTGCTTTACATCAAAGCATCAAAGAAAAAAAACAGTGTTTAAGTTTACCCAACAAAGTAATTCTGTATTTCATTGAGCACTTTC